TTATTATGCTCATCATAATTATAATTCAAACACTGGGAAAAGCACTGAGTAAGTTCATACTTGAGTAATATTACATAACATAGTGTATTTACGAAAACAATATCAATATTGTAATGTAAGATTATGGATATAAACCTTATTTATACAGAATTAAAATGTACCTGCAAGCCTCACTTGTACATGCAGATTTGTTCAGTCCAATCCGGACTGCCGCTTCCACTTTGAAAAGAATGGCTGCAGCGTGGCTGCATGTCTCTCCTAAACTATTATTGAAAATAGAAATGCGTATTGATGACCTTTGTAAGCAGTCCAAAATTTGAACGTTTATACCCTGCCTTGCAATCACAATGAGCATGAACAATTTCGCCACTGTCTTTAATAACGACCCATGGCAGATGAGATAGTTTTGATGACTCCGCTTGACCTGGCCTTACATCGGCTTTTAATAGCAGATGATCAAGAGGTTGTTTTTGGCAATATACGTGAAAACAGGCCCAACTTTTCTGGAGATAAAGTAGTCGTAAGCTTCAAGACTCTTATAGGCTTTCATTTTCCTTATTCAAGGGACCAGGCGACTCGATGAGGTAAAAAAACAAGTCGCCGTAAGTTAGCTGTGGCCAATGTAATGGCGAGTCTGACCACAGGTTTTCCACATCCCAGATCTCGTAYGGATTGATGAATTCCTCTTTTTTTGACCCAACAGTACCAAAAAGCTTCTCTTTAAACCTTTTAAGGTCTTCTGGACCTAAAGTGTTGAGGTATACACCCTTTTAATAAGTCCCGAGGTACTGAGTTCTCCGCACTTGACGTCAAATTTATTCTTTTGAAATTTTTACAATACAAAAGGAATGCAAAAGAATAAATTTGACGTCAAATGCGGAGATCACAATACCTCGGGACTTATTAAAAGGATGTATAGCACGTTTTTTCCACTTATTTTGCTGGTGGATTCACAATCAACAAGTGTAGCGTCCGCCATTTTGTTTATCTTTTTGCCACACAGCGCCTAGCACATGCGTACTAAAATGTAAACAATGATCGGCCTATTGCCAAAACATATGCCCTTTGCTCAGAACAAACTACTGGGCATTAGCACAAGTAACTTATGGAAAATATATTATTACGTGATTAGTTTAAAGTAGACACCTTAAAATGSTGAAGCACTAGAAGAATTATTGTAGGCAGCCTCCTTAAAGTATCATTATTAAAAGAACATACCCGTCAATTCTGCTGAATCTTGGATAAATGTATAATACCAYTGGATTGCTTGTCTTTCTTTATCATTGCAGTTAATATGGATAACATTTGATGATTTTCCCTTGACTTGTTCTGGGTGCACAAATACAGCTGAAGTGGTGGGAAATATCAGTGGGCCAATTATGGAAGGGTATCCTCTTAGTAATTTCCCTAATTCCATACAATCAAGATCTTCAAAGAACTTATCCATTACCAAGACCCTTGTGATTAAGACTCTGCGATCAGGGTGTCCTTCATTGCCTTATCCTTATTTAAATCAGTGATTTAAGCCATGGCTTAAGCCATGGCTAACCATTCTTGCCTCTAGCTTGCCCTTCTCGTCTGAGGTGACCTCACTGATGTCATGGCTTAGAACCTGGAAAAGAATATTGTTTCAACAAAATATCAAAACTTTGACGGCGCGTAACTCTAGTTAAAATTTAAGTTAAAATTTGCCTCATTCAAATTATTTTTGATTTTGATAGTGATGATAATGGACAATCGAAATATAGTGGATGATCGTAAATAAACAACCGCACAAACGAGAAACACGCWTTCAAAGTTGCYCAAAAATCAGTGTTTGTTAACTCACGATAAACCATGGTCTAATTAAAAATCTGTAAAATATTCCCAATTTAAAATAACTGAGGAGTGGAGTYTGATGCTCAAAACATTTGAAATTTGGATGCATTAATATTGCCTCCTAAAGAAGAACTTAAATGAATTGTTTAGAGTGTGCAGTCACCTTTGATTTATTCTGCCGACCATAATCCTTTTACCGTCAAAACAGTTGAATGTGACTTCATAACGGACTACGACATTTCTGTGTACATACAACTAACAAAGCAAAACAATACATAGTGGTCGTACGAATATCTAATATAAGCAAAATACACCATTCTGTTGGATTAAAATATAGGTCTTTCCAATGATTTCCAATGTGATGACTGACACCAGTCTTTTCCAAAGGTAGCTAATTTCTTAGTTTTCACATGACATCATCGGTCAAAAAAAATATAATTACAGACACACGTTCTAGTACTAAAATACCTTCAAAAGCATGATAAAAGTTCTCTTTGAATGTTTACCCTATACTTCTGATTTCTATCTATATTTCTTATCAATCTCTACTTAACTTTTTATTTTAATTTTTACCTTTGATTTAGAGCGCTTAGAGAAAGCTATATAGGCTTATATATTAAAATTATTATTGTAAGAATAAAGCTAATTTCGTAGCAATGAAACGCAATTACCAAGATTTGCTAATTACATGTAACAACATTTATTCACACAAAGTTAATCGTCTAGACAAGGCCCGACAACACTCTACGTATTGTACTCTCACTTTCCATCAGAACGTTCTTCTGCATTTCTCCAACAATCCTTTCTACATTTTCATGATTTTCAAAAAGCTTTGAGACTTCACTAATTGTCATACCAACTTCGCCTTGTGATTCTCTAAAACTGTTCCCACCGTTCTTTGTACCAAATTTCGTCATTATTAATTAGTTCTTTTTCCTTAGCCCAAGCCACTGCGATTATCATAAAAACTCTATTGTGCCTTGTCAAGTATTCAGTATTAGCCAATACTTTGCAATCAGCTACAAGATGTTCTACAGTTTCAGCATGCTCATGACATACTCTACACATTGCATCTTCGATCAAACCTCTCTTTGCTTTCCATGCTCTTGTTTCCACCATCTGTTCTAGCATTGATATTATTGCAGCCGTCTTTCTCGGATGGAGGTTCTGATTTAACCATAAAAAATATTATTCCTCTTGTTCCCTAAACAGCTTCCCCTGTTGTTCTTTTGCTTCATACATCACTTCTCTCTTACACTCTACACCCTTCTGTAGCCTGGACTACACCCTTCTCCATGTCAGTTTCCACTCCTCAATCAGTTCCTCGCCAAGTCTTATCTCGTTATCAATGAATCTTATTCTCACTCCTACATCTTCCATCGATGTTAAGGCTTCTGCAATTATATCATTCTCTTCCTTAAGAACCTCCCTTCTCCATGCCGTCTCTTAAGGTAAAGTCTTTCATCACTTGCCTGCCTTCCCAGCATATTCTTTGATCTTAACTCTCTTTTAATAACCTGATCTATTTCATTCAATTCTCCGTTACTAAATTTACAAATATTCATTGGTTATGCAGCAACAGGTATCACTTTGGTGTTAATTGCATGTATAAGATTAACATCGTTAAGTTCAATCTCAGTTAACATTTTGGCTCTCTTAGTAACTTCGCTCTTGACGGCCTTTGTCTTTATCCCATCAGCTTGTTCCACACCAAGGAGTTTGTACATATCATTTTCATCTGGATCTATAGTCTTCATTCTTTCCTCCAGTACTTGAAGTCCTTCTCCGTTTACCATTTTCCCATGTTCGAACACAATTTCTGCACATTTCGCTACCCCATAACATGCTCCAGTATCGTGACTCACTTGAACAATAATTTCATTAACATCTTTCAGTACCTTATGGCTCTCCTGGTACACTTTCAAGTCATCCACAAACAAACTATGCGTTCTACTGACATTTTGGTTTCCCGGCTCTCCCATTCGGTAGCCTCCACTTTGTTGCAGTAGATTACACACTGGTATCTCCGAAATGCAAAATCCAACTGGCGAGTTACTATCCCCTTGTAAAAACCCACACAAAATGTTAATCCATCGACTAGTGCTCTTTTCACTTCCATCCCAAATTTCTAGTCTAGTCTTCCATTTGCTCATCAGCTGGTTAAGTAGCCCTAATATAAAAATTAGGTAAACCTAATAGCGGAGCTCCCAAAAGATATGCATGTTGGATGAAGATGTGATGCAAGATACATTGGTCAGATTTTTAGTACATGTTTTGTCAAGGCTAACAAAAAAAAAACATTCCATGGCACTACATTAAATAATTATTAAACTTTTTCTCTTCAGCTTTGTTGATGCAAAGCAGTGATRTATATAATCATATGTAAAGAAAACCACTTATTTTGAATTCTTGTGGTTATTTACCAAAATAAAACTTCCTTAGATAATCTTACAGAAATCATAAATTAATGTTAATTCTTAATATGTTTTGAAACTTTGACATTTTTCAATCATACAGGAATTATAAATAATATTAAATTCATTTTGCCAGTTTTGGTATTTTTCAATCTTTACAGGACTCATCAAATAATATAAATGCATTTTGAGAGTTTTGGCATTATTCAATCATGCAGAAATCATAAATTCATATTCTTGAAATGTTCAAACTTTTTGATCTTCTAATGTTTATGTAACTACAGACTTTTGCTTACACCAATGTCATTTAATAGACAGAACATTACAGCTGTCGCTTGAAGATATGAATTTTATCTTCAAGTTTTGAATTTATATATCCCACGAGTTAGCACAATATTTCCATGCACCCATGTAATATCCTTTATTTAATCACACAGGAATGATAAATAATAATAAATGCATTTTGGCAGTTGATATTTTTCAATCATACAGTGATCCAAAAAAATGATTTATGGGT